ATGCTTTGACCTAGGCTGAGGAAGAGGCTCAGCGGAACAAAAAACAATTTACCGACTTAAACGGAACAACAAATCTGTTTCACTCCATTGTGATATGAACGGACTGTAACTACTAACGCTAATGTATCAAGAACAAAATAGCGCAAAACGCGGTTTATTTATAAACAACACGAAAGAGACTGTGGTCAGTCCGGTGACTGACCAATACCATATCTCACGGACCTTCTTCAAGGAAGATTGTATAAGTAAAGCGTGTTTTGCGCTATTTCTTCAATATGACAGCAACGCACAAAGAAATTACTTTATTTTCGGCAATGTATCTACTGAATACGCTACTGCATGTTCATATATAACATCATGCATATCGAGCAATCACACAGAACATACGCATTCAATGTTTCGACATACAGCAAAATTGACATACTTTATGCGCATACATAGTTATACTCTCATCCCTGTATTATTAAAAACACTTACTGCAACTGATTACATGATTTCCAGCTAGACCTTAAGCATCTCTTGGTTACATACATCGTGCTTATTGTGTCTATCGCTGTTCTGTCATTGTCATCTGGGGCTGATAGAGATTAAACAGCAGAGTAACCGAGATTTATTGCCTGGCCGCTACTGTGCATGGATATGATGGATTCTGCATACATAACTGGATTATATCATAAGAGCTTTATGTCGATAAAGATGTACATACAATATGGTACACCTAATGAGAGTACTGCATATTCAAAAGCGTAATAGTTCAATGCGTGCCTGTACATCGGACCATATCGATACGCGTCTTAACTGCCCCAAACCAGGCTTCAAGACATATGACACCGTTCTTCGCTGCTCGATGATTCGCGAGCACCTGTGGCACTCTGGCACCTGGAGTGTAAAGATGTGTCTTGCCAGTGCACTAGGTATGATATCAGGAGTCAGATTCCATCTGTGCTTTCCAGCGGGAACAAAAATAATACTTGTGTGCAATGAATATGCTGATAACCACAACAAACGGCTAAGAGCAAATATTTAAGTGTTAGTTGCTACAAATTATAATTTGTCTATCCGGTATCTATTCATCGCTGTCGACTGTCTACTTCTGGCCATATCAACATACAACTGTAACCATGTTTGATGGCACTGGTAGATTTTCCGTTGTAAGAAACTTATAATACTGCATCGCGTTAAATAAACGGTGTTTAACATTTTCAGATTAGTTGTCTTCTTAATTACTATCAACTTTGTCAAGCACTACTGCAACAAAAACTCATAAATCTAACTGTGAATAAGGAATATGCACGTGAGGCAGATGTAGTTTAGGAAGAACAGAAGGTTAACTTTGTAAGGCGTTATGTCCTACGCTAGCTACGAATAGATGAAATTTAGGAATATGTACCTACATTCAAAAACGAAGAAAACTGAAGATTAATGACAAAGCAGACTGTGTTCAAGAGTAGTTTCATATCATTTGTGCCAACTCAACTGTTGCTTATGCTACAACCACAAGTGATACTCTACTACCTCTGCTTAACTTAACTCTGTACTTTCTGATCAACGAATGAACGGACCGACACCACTTACCTTCTTCAGTAACTCCTTTTGATCATCGTGACAGGAAGCGAAAAATCTAGACAGCGCCGTCAGTACTGGGAATGGACTGCCACTGTTGATGCAAGGATGAATGCACTGTCCATTTTGACCGACGCTGTGCACGGACGGCAGACTGTTTGGTGACTGGACGATCGAAAATTCGGTCGATAGAAGAACAGAATACTTGTTAAAAGAGGTTGAGGCGTCGAGTTTTCCATCGTCACGCAATATCGACAACTTTTTACGACAATTGGTCGAAGGCCACGACACATATGAAGTGCTCAACCAGAGTACGGCCTCTGCCATTGCATGTGACACCTAGAAATCATGAAAACTAAGCACTTTAGAATAGTACACGTTTCAATCAGATGATACCTTCGTTCGAACCTCGTACAAATGACAAGTCGCCAGAAAGTTCAGCGCAGAACATATCGTTGTGTGATAGGTGAACTAAAAAACTTATACATCATTCGACTAATACGAAACGCACTGACTATCCATACATGAACACCACCGCATTCTACGAGGCTAACCAAATTGTCCATGTCATGCTCTATGAACAACAATCAAAACAAAGATTGAATGCAGGATTCAGAACAGTTTAAACGCATTTTCAGTAACCACTGCAGTAGTGGACCAGACTCATTACGCACTCAGAAACTGTTGACTAATGACGGATGCCAAAGCTTATGCATATAAAGCAAATCTGATCTGACTAACAGATGGACACTCTGGGTGCAAAGCGCAATGGAGGAAGAGGAACGCTGTCTAAACAAAACCTCGAAAAAAGCTGGTAACATCTTGTCACTATCTCATCTATCCTGTGCACTGAGAATGATAAGCATTGGAGTACAACGGCATACGCAGAAAAAATCAGCTTCAACCGAAAAACCAATAAATTGCGTCGCAAAAAATGAAACCGTTTGGCCCCGTTTCAGTAGAGCTGTCAAATAGCAGACAGGATAGCCAAACGAATGCACTCAGTTATCATTCCTCTGAATGGGGTGTCATATTTATTATGAATATCACGGTGCTAACTCAATTATTCACATACATACTTTTAGCACCATGCATCGTGAATCTGCCTAGAACAGTCATTTTAACATATAAATCAGCTATCAGAAATGCGCTGGTGACTGCTTCTCAGTACTATTTCATGCAACACATTGCCATTTTCACTGCAACATTCGATATCAGTACCATGCCAGCAGTTCATTACTCGAATCTACTTTAAGGCCAATGATGCGGTACATATAAAGAGGTAAATTCCACAACCGATAATTACTGCTGCACGGCAAGACTGCTCTTGTTTTCGCCAATTAGAAGTTCACGGCATGCTGTGAACTTCTCAGCTCGTACGATGTGGATTTTATCGTCCCTTGTTAATCACGCATTATAACTACATCATCACTTTCAATGGTGCAACGGGGAATAATTTCGAAGCATAGATACTTATGGATCAAAGTGTCATAAGTCAATCGTTAAAAGCATGCTTACGTGACAGTATTCCGATTTGTGTTCCTTCAGAATAGCAACGGAATAGTCGAAAATAAGTTCCACTTGATCATAGAGAATACTGATTTCTTCCGTAACACTTTCCTCGCCAGAATTTCTAAACAAATTCTGTAGGAAAGCAAGCAACAAAGGTACTGAATATTTGGCTCATGCGTTGGTGGTGATACTAAAAACCGCAAAAAACAGTTTATTTATGCACCACAAATAATTAGGTAAATCTGATGATAGATCAATACCGGTTTCACCGGCGGTTTCTAAGACAGAGTAGTGCAGCAATTCATAGGAAAGCCTTAAGTCTCTGAACTCGCGAAATGCTGTAGAAGAAAAGGACTTCTGATGGTTACTCGCCTCTATACCTTGAAGAAGGCCAAAGAAACACGAGCTGAAATGTCGATCATGGTCAATCATGCGATTGGCCAAATTACTCAAGTTCTGAATATATAAACCACGTTATGCTCCGTTTAAAGTTACAATAGGTCAGTAAACAAAGGTACTTTTCAATTTAACTTCAAAGCAACGGATATTTAATTTTAAAGATAATCATATGAAATGGCCTTATAATATGTTTTTAATATTAACCATTATTTGTCTCAGAACACGTAGAATGAACTGAAAAAAAAGAATTCTGTAACAATCTTTTCCAGAGTCTGAAATATCTCTGCAAAAAGTTATAATTACAGTCATGATGCATATGATAAGTCATAAAAGGCTGTCATGGCAAGATAAAAGAAATGCACGGATCCTACATGAATACTGAGATAGGATTTCAGAGTCTGTATCGCCGTGGTTGGTGATAGAATGTGAATTCAAGAATTAAAACTGGAAAAGTGATTAATATCTTATGACATTCAACTGAATATTAGCAATCATGTGAGAATCATAACGGTTTATAACACTGGTCTAAACTCGTGGCGAACGGGGTATTGGCCAAATGACTAGACACGTTCCGTTTCAGGTCTTTCTCACTACTGAAAATGAGCTATCAGACTTTCAAATATAAGACAATCTTTCCGCTCTCGCCCATCAGATAATGCCTCCTGTAGTGGCCACAATCTTATTCTTATTTCGCAAAACGCTCTTCAGGAATCACCGAATTTTCTTATCTTATTCACTCTTTATCGTTAATTTTGTTTTTTTCCCTCCAAATTTGGTGCATAGATCTGTGACAAGGTCAAGATCAACTTCAGCCGGATAACTGCCACTCGTACTTGACAAGCTTTCATTCAATGATTCACTTAGCTAAGTTGGATTCCACTAGAACCCCAACACTGGTCTGAGCGCGAGTCATGATGGCGACACATGAATAGAATAGCTTCCATCTGCAGAGGTTCAGAATTCCAGATCACTGCGCTTAGCTGAAGATAGTCCAACTATGCCGAGTCGGTACTTCGCTGATTCATTAACTGGCACCTGCTGTTTCTCTCGGAGTGAACAGATGTTTAAACTGTACGCCCCCACTCTTGGTATCACTTCCGTGGAGCTTTATCTGATGTACAAAAATGGCATCGCGCTGTCTACCCCCTCTACTCAGAACGGGTAGCGGTTCAGTTGCTTATTATTACTACCATACCAGTTATTAAAGCCCTAAGAAAAGTAGCTTGCAGAAGTTCAAAGGCTCTGATTTGATCCAAAGCAAAACTTTAAACTATATCTACTTGCATGTAAAGGCAGCTAATAGAAGACTATTTCCAATCAAGAATTCAACTATTGCAAAAATAACAATTCTGTGCTGTTTCGAAGAGTTATTACAATAGACATATATGGGGTCAAAAATGACAAAATTTTGGTCATACGAAGGTTAGGAAAGACATAAGCAAGCACTACATACGCTGCCCACAACACGAAAGTTTCCAAAGCCGCAATAAGCACTCGCAGACGCACAAACTCGAACGAAGGCTTCGTTACATCAACGTCCACTACCGACTGGACAAATCTGCGGATAACCTCAATCATCTTCGGTGAAATGGCTCTAAAATAAATGTGATCATTCGAAAAGCAAAAAACAACAGAACATCAAACTTCGAGTTCTAAACATTATTTTGGCGGAGAATTTTAAAATAGAATTCATTAAAGAATTTCAATGAAATATGGCATGTCTGAAAGCTCAAGAAAGATAAAAAGTCGATGCATTAACAACAAAAATTAAGCACTATGAATGACATAATCAGTCACTTTGATGAAACCACATAATCAGCGAAAACTTTGTAAGAAACTTGGGCATTACAAATGAGGACAGAAACATGAGCCGTCTATTGTGACTGCCATTCTGACCGAATCGTATATTTGCAATAAATTACTTCTAGTTGACTAGTTCTCGGACATTCTCGCAAGTAACTCATGAAATTGCTGCGACGAGCTCAAATAATATATCACTTCAACGTGCCACTTTTGTCTGCACAACTCGAAACGTCGGCAGTTTCTGTAGTAAAATCTATACGTGGAGTAGTCCCGTAAAAAATCATGAAGACTATGAAAATAATAATCTCTCGTATAAAAGAACAGTATTCATTTTTCAAACCTCTGATAACTACACATGCATGTTCTAGTACCTGATAAAGTCAGTGAGAAGTCCGTAGGCTAAAAGCTGCCGCCAAAGTCGAAACGCCTCAATGATAACCTGAACCGCTTCATCAGAAGGTAGCGGAAAATCTCTAAAATGCATATAAGGCGAAACTCCAAAAACAGTGCTAAAACGGATGAACATTACGTCGGTTCGCTATGCATGTAACGGCAAAGCACCGGTCCAACGTCGAATCTCGCCACCTATAAACCGATTAA